AATTTTACATATAAGGTTCAAACTAAAACGAGAAACTCACTGTCCAAAATCACAATACCCACAAGCAAAGAAGTAGTCTAATTGAGAGACAACAGAAATAACGGACACTAATTTTAGACCTGCATAGATTTTTGATATCATCAGAAATTAAGTATATTTACTGTATTGAGAGGAAAAATAAGTTCAAAAATATGAGCAAGAAACAGATGCAATAAAGTAAAATCAGTCATATTGTAAAAATAAACTTATAGAAATATACTTTAAATTAAAAATTCAATAGGCAAGTTAAATAGTAGATAGGAAAAACCTGAAGAAGAGTTTAATGAACTGGAATGTAAATCTAAAGAGATTATCCAGTGGCTAGAAAGATGGGAGAAAAAAAGAAAACATAAACAAAAAGAATAGATTAAAAGACATGGAAAATAGAGAAAAAGGTCTAGCAAATTTAATCAGAATTCCATAAAGATAATAGAAACATAAAAGATAATATTTAAGGTGATAATGACTGAAACCTGTCTCAGAATTATTCAAAGATACATATCCTAACATACAGGAAGTCCAGCAAATCACACACAAAAAACAAAATAAAGCAAATGCAAAACAAAACCCAAAACACTAGAGAATAGACATTGGCAACAGTCTTACCACCATCTTTACAACAGAAATAATGAAAACTATAAGATGGTGGAAATTCGTATGCACACAAAAGATCTTAAGCCACAGAAGGGACAAGCAAGAAGACTAGAAACAAAATAAAATAAAGCAAAATGCAAAACAAAACCCAAAACACCGTAGAGAATAGACATTGGCAACAGACTGACCACTATCTTTACAACAGAAATAATGAAAACTATAAGATGGTGGAATAATACCTTAAGTGGACTGAGAGAAAATAATTGTCAACCTAAAACTGCACACCCAGCAAAACTGTATTCAAGTGTAAGGATAAAATAAAGACATTTCCAAACAGACCTGAGAGTTTACTACCAGTAGACCCTCACTAAAGGTGATTCTAAAGAATTTTCTCTATGAAGGAAAAATGTAATCCCAGACAGATCTGCTATGCAAAAAAAGGCCGATTATGAGATATATTGATAAGTGTGTGCATAAATCAAAATAACAGTTGACTGCAAAAAATTAGAACAATAATAGTGACAATGTCTAACTTGCGGGGGAAAAGAACAGCAATTTAGAGAACTAACATATTGGACAACAACGGCTTTGAATTTGGCAGTGGGTGGTCAGTGTTGAAGAACCTTGTTTTATTTACAAGAGTGTTAAATTTATTAAATATTTAGATTGTAAGTTAGTATACATGTTTTATTATAAAGGTAAAATTGTATGAATAACTTCCAAGACATAGAGCGGGAGAAAGTAGAAAAAGAAAAAGAAAAAATAATTTAGTCAATTCTAAAAGTGTAGGGGGAGAAAAAAACCCAAACAAAAAACAGAAGAACCAGGACAAGTAGATAAGTAGAAAGCACAAATAAGATGGTAGAAATTAAGTTTAAATATATTCATTATTACAATAAATAGAAAAGGGCTAAATTTCTTAGTTAAGAGTGTCAGACGGTGTTTTTTGTTTTTTTTTAAGCGACTCGCTTTATGTTGATTTTAAAAACACACCCCAAATTAGCTGGGCGTGGTGGCGGGTGCCTATAGTCCCAGCTACTCAGGAGGCTCAGGCAGGAGAATAGCGTGAACCTGGAACCGGAGCTTGCAGTGAGCAGAGATAGCGCCACTGCACTCCAGTCTGGGCGGCAGAGAGAGACTCCGTCTCAAGAAAGCAAGAACAAAAACAAAAAAACCCACCCCAAACCATAAGGAACACAAATGTTAAAAGTTCAAGTATGGAAAAAAATATGTAGTAAATCCCCAGGAAAATGCAGCCCACAAAAATACCAATTAAAAAAAATTTAGAAAGAATGTCTTCAGCATTTGACTTCAGTCCTTCTCTTTATTTTTAAATAGGGACAGGCTCGATTTATTTTCTTCTGTTGAGATATGAGTAGGATTAGGATGTGACAGACTCTTGATCACTTAAGACTTTTACAGTATGGTATACATTTCTTCAGTTTCATAGAGGACAAGTTTTTCTTATTTACTTTTGGGATTTTTTTTCATGACAGAACAGAGTAACTGAAAATATTCCTTTAGCCACATACATAAACCCATGTTTTATTTTTGGATACTACTTATCCCACTATGGCATAGGTTTTATTGTATTAGCAAAACTAACAAGAAAACTGCTGTGGCTATATTAACATCAAACTAAACACTTTCTAAGGAAAAAAATTGGTAAAGATAAAGAAGAGAGCTATATAATAAAATGATTTATTAAGAAGATAAACTTTTATGCAGCTAATTATAAACTCTCAAAATTACAAAAATTGACTGAACTACAGAAAAAAATAGAAAGACTAGAAAGACCCATACATTAGTGGGAGATTTTAATATATCTTTGTCAGTAATTAACAGATGAAGCAGATACAAAATCAAGGATATAGATGATATGAACATAATAGGCTTGAGCTAATGAATAGTTATAGATTACATCCGTTAATTTGAAAATATTGAATCTAAGCACATATGAAATATTTATTAAAATCGGCTACACGGAGACTGTAAAATTGTCCTCAATAAATTTCAGAGAATTGATATCAACAAATCTCATTTTTGGATCAAAATGTAACCAATTTAGAAATTAATAGCAAAAAGATAATTGGGAAATACCATACATTTAAACAACATATGGGTTAAGAAATCAAAATGCAAATTCAAAAGCATTAGAAATGAGAGATAATAAAAGCATTATATTTCAAAACATTGGAGGCAGGCAAAGTAGTATTAGAAAAAAAATACAATTATTTAAATACATTAGTAAAGAAGACTAAATAGTGAATTAAAAACACAAGAATAGCAGAATAAGCCCTCAAAACGTATAGGAAAGAGAATGAATAATTTAAAACAAACACCCCCCACGAAGAAAAACTAATGAATTAGAAAATCAACATACAAAAAGAATCCACAAAGGTAAAAGTTTGTGCTTTGAAAAAATTAATAAAATTGACAAGCCTGTGGCAATATATGTCAAGAGAAAAATGAGAAATGCATTATAAATAATATTGAGAATTAAAACAGGAACATAATGGAATAGAATTTTTTATGCTGAATAGATTAAAATATGTGTGTATTATATACATTTTAAAGTCAATGAATCTGGAAATCTAGAAAATAAAATAATTTATTTGATAAATGCAGTTTGCTAAAACTGACTAAAAAGAAATAGAAAATATAAATAACTGTATAATCATTAAATAAATTGAATTAATAGTTTAAATTTTTCCCGCAAAGATAGCATCAGAATAGGTGATTTTTACCAATACAGGTATTCAGATATTTAAGGGGCAAGTAATTTAAATCCTATACAAACTCTATCAGTGATTATGAAAAGAGAATATTCTCCAAGTATTTTGCAGCTAGCATAACTTTGACACTAAAATAAGGTAAGGACATTATAAAGTGGAAAAGGGCAATTTCACTTGTGAGCATTGAAGAAGAAGAAAAAAAGCAAAATAAAATATTAATAAACAAAATTTAGCACTATCCAGCACTATGCTAAAAAGAAAATACATTATGACCACGTTGTTTTTTATCTCATGAATGCCTGGTTCATTTAATATTGGAAATTTTATTAATGTAGCGTCACTTCAGCATCATTGAAAGGAAATATACAATCTTCTTAACAGTTGCAGGGGAGATAGTTAATAGAATTTGCTCTCTGTCTCTAATTTAAAACTGAAAACTTTTACAAACTAGGAATAGAAGAAAAATTGTTTGACTTGATAAAGGCATCTGCAAAAATATTAAACCATGACAAATATCATACTGGATGAGGAAATGTATGAATTTCTGTTAACATCAGGAACAACCAAGCATATCCAACTTCTGTGAAGACTGAAACTTACACTATTTTGGGGCTCTGATTCCTGAGTGTTAGGATTTATTGACCTGTTGATATCACCTCCTCTTATTTTTTGCAACTTCACACCTAATCTTTTCTTTTCTTTTTCAACCCTTTAACACCTCTGTAACCAATATTCCTTGTCTTAACTTCTCGTTGGTTGAACTATCTCAAAACTCCAGCTTCAGAACTACAAATAAGAAATTGTGTATTAAAATGAATATGAGGAAAAAATGCACAAAAAATATTGGAGACTTAGAGATTTTGGTCTTTCTATTCTGAGATCTTTTAGAACAATTTATTGGAAATGCTTCCCAATTTCACTAGGCTTCCCTTTCTATACCTAGAATACCCTGCAAATCCTAATAACTCTTGGAACTCACAGGGGTCTGTGCAAATGAGGGCCTAAGTTTTATTTGCTTCCTGAGGACCTAAGCTATATGTTTTAGAGATGTAAACTAATGCAATAAGACAAAAACTTAAAGTTCAAAAATTTGAATAAAAAGGAACAAAGCCATTACTATTACTAGGTGATACAGTTGTTCACATCAAAATCCCCAAATAATCGACAGACATATTTTTTGGAATTAATACGAAAGCTTAGCTAGCTTGCTGTTTTAAAACAATGTATAAAATTAAATTACATGTCTATACTTTGGAAATGATTAGAAAGATGATTTAGAAGACGTCATTACAGTGCAACCCACACTTCCCCCAGCCAACCAACCAAACAAAGCAAGCACCACCTAGGATTATATCTCACAATAGATGATCAAGAACTTTATGTAGAAAAGTATAGAATTTTATTGAGGCCAAGGTGGGAGTATTGCTTGCATCCAGGAGTTCCAGACCAGCCTGGGGAACATATTGAGACCCTGTCTCCACCAAAAAAAAAAAAATTATTGAAAGTCATTGGCAAGAAATACTATGTTCATGGATAGGATGATTCTGTCTCTTAAAGATGTCGTTTTTTTTCTCTATTATTGTCATTGCATCGTTGTAAACCGGCTCTTCTTTCTCCATTCTTTGTTTATAGGGAGTTGAACTTGTCAAATTAGTGTCTACAGTGATATGTATGAAGCAAAGGGAAGAAGAATTCTTACTAACTATCAGACCTTTTGCAAACAGGATGCAGGTAATGAATAAGAGATACTACATTTTCTTATTTTTTTTTAGGTTAATAGGTTTGCTCCATTTCAGCCACTAATTTTGATTCTTGATTCAGTGTCATTGATATTATATTTTAGATAATCCTCCTAGTTTCCATATTTATCCATACTCACATCATTGTAAATTACAGTATAATTTTAAATGCCTTCATAAATTATTTTTTTTCCCACTATTAGGGACACATTACATTTATGCTAGCAAAACTTAGAAATGTGTTGTCTTTGCTATTATTTATTTATTATCTTACTAAGGTAACCCCACACCATTAGGATTGAGGCACATGTGCTCACTTTAAAGGTACTGGTTTTGTTCCTAAGAAGTTGCACAAGCCCGGGCTTTTAACTGAAGACAAACTTTTCACTGACATATAAAAAACTACAAATTCTCTCATAATGGTAAGAATGATTCTGTATTAGTTCTCTGTTGCTGCTGTAACAAATTACCACAAACTTAGTGGCTTAAAACAGTACAAAGTTATTATCTCCCACTTAGTTCTGTAGGTTCAGAAGTATGATACAGGTCTCACTGGGTTGAAATCTAGGTGTTGGCAAGGTTTCATTCTTTTCTACAGACTTTAGAGGAGATTCTGTTTCCTTCCCTTTCCAGCTTCTGAAGGCTGTCTGAATTCCTTGACTCCTATTACTTTTACTCCATCTTCAAAACAAGTAACAGAGGGTTTAGTCTTCCTCACATCACATCATTCCAACCTCCTCTTCTGCCTCCCTCTTCAGCCATTATATTGGATTATATTATTCACTCCTCTGTGGCTCTCCTTCTGAAAAGTAAGCTCCCTTAGGGTAGAAACTTGGTCAACTTTGTTCCCCTGTGTTAATCAGGGTCTAGGTCTGTCTGGTACATAGGAGCTATGATGCATGAATGAATCAGTTTTTAAATTTCATCCCTTAACATCACATTTTTTTTCAGTAAGCTGGATCACAGTGAAATCTCTATAATTTGAATTATGAGTTGAATTCAAATTGAAGTATGAAATCTATGACCATTGTACTTTGTTATTTCACTGAGAGTGCTATTTGAATAGCCAGATTTACAACTGACATCAGTAAGTAATATTCAATGTGATATATTAAGTATTTTTCTGTAAATACCCTACTATTGATTTTATTCTTTTGCAGTAGGGATTGATAATAATAGTGATGAAGACAATTAGCATCATCTTTGCTAGCATTCATGGACTACTTGCTATGTGCCATTAGTGAGTTCTTTTCATTATTTAATCTTCTCACTCCATGAGGTCATAAAGTACACATTTACTCTTTTGTCCACCCAAGAAAACTATCCCCCTTACCCAATGCTTCTTTTAGGAAACTGCTTCTCTCCATTCCCCGCAAGTGGTTTTGGGAACAGCCCAAGCACAATCCTTTGGCCTCTTGGCTATCAAGATGGATATAGGAACCAGTCTGGACCAGTCAGAATCTTTTAGTGGGAATCCAATAGTTAATATGTAGTCCATATCAAGCCAGAGTTCTTCCTCTCAGTTTTTGTACACATTATGGGAAGAGAGAGTTTCTTTTCCTCTCAGGTCCAAAAATGGCACGGATATAGCCTGAAACTGCTTGTGGTTTGTGGCGAATTAGAGGAAATGGATCAGGGATAGGAGTCAGATGTCCTGACTTATGTAGTATGTGGTCTCATTTTCTCCATTTTATGTATGAACAAACATATCTCAGAGCTGTTATTTTCCACAGGACAAATACCTTGTAAATAGCTAGTGAATGGGGGGGATTTTTATCCCACATCAGCCTACTTTCATTGTCTATATTTTCTTTAACTTTGCTTTATGCTCTGACATCCTGGCCACTTACTCTTTCCATTCTTCCTGCTTTCTGAAAGCACACAGCAAGGAAATGCACACTCTGTATTTCTAAAAAGGTGTTCCTTGGACAGTTGTTGCTCATCTGTACATCTTGTACTTGAACATGTTCACTTGAGGGTCTAGGGCTGGAATGACAAACAGGCCCCATCTTTCATGTTAATTCCAGGAGAATAAAAGTGGCTATCTACAGCTTTGTGTTGAGAAGGATTCTGAGGCTTCATCTGGCCTAGCAGAAAAGGAGGAAAGTGAAATAAGAATATGAGCTATTTAATTTGCTCAAAATGTTTGATAATTCAGATTCTCTTTTGGAAATATGGAGTTGCACTTTTCAGCATCCAGGAGGTGTTGAATCAAGGACTCTTGTTTTTAAGCTCAAAAAATATTTTGTTAGCCAGGGACTCAACCTGTGTACCAAACCAAATTCCTCAATGGTCTCTTCACTATGGAATGATGACATCTTCTAATGAACATCTTCCTTTGCAAAATGCCCAGACAGTTCTATGCCACAACGATAGGAACAGCAACATGACCTGAATTTAGATTCTGGAACTGAATGTCATTTATTGGGACCACTCTTTTTCGGTGAGAGAGATGCTAAATCACAGTCACCCTGAGAAAATTGTCATGCATTGGTATTGTTGAACATTTTCTAACAATCAAATTGAGCCTCACATTTTGTTGGTTGGAAGTTCCATTTCTTCATCTTTGGTCCAAGTTACTTAGCAATGACCAATCAAACTATGTGCCCACCATATTGTTTTGCATGTTTGACTAGAACATTGACAGATTAATAGGAAGGGTAAATAGCAGAGCACAACTGCGGCGGCCCAGTGTGGGGCAGCAGGATTGACTGCTCCGGACTTTGTTGTGTTTGCTCAGAGGAAGCCGCAGCAAAAGCCTGCTGGGATGAGGTGACCTGGGTCATGGGCATTTGTTTTTTGTCTCTATAGAAAACAATTGTCTTCTCAATGGAAGATAGCTTTTTTCTGAGTCTACATGGTTCCACCAATGAGGAAGCATTTGCCATTCCAGCGTGCTTGCTAAAACACAGTCATACAAATAAAAAGGCCACACAAAAGTTCAAATTTACTGTATTTTTCAGAGAATCCTTTGGCTTATGTTAACCAGGAGAGAAGCCTAACTTTGGAAAATTTATCTTGAGGGTCTCTAAACCTTCGTCTATTTACTGCTAATTCCCAATATTTGATGTTTAGAATTTTATGAAGTTTCAAAATCCAGCTACCTTTCCTTCCCCCATAGTTCATGAAGGCAGAACCCATTAACATGTAGCACTGTTGATTTTGTAAACCCTGGCTTTGGTAAAAATTTATTTTGATTTCAAAATTGCTCTACTCTGAATTGATATAAATGAAATACATTAATAATAAAGGAAAATCTACTTTGGGTAAGATTTAATTAATCAAAAGTGGTGACTTGATTTAAAAGCTAGAACTATGTTTCTGGTTGATAGATTTATTTGAGCATGACTAATTTTACATTTACAAATTTAACACAGTTCTTTAGAAAAAGACTTACTTTTAATAAAAGACTCCAAAGGATTCCACATGGATTTTTGATGAATTATTCTTGATCAATCTTGATGTACTTTATACACACACGTGCGCGTGCATGCACACACGTATACATACATACAGACATACATAGAGATAGAGACAGAGATTAGAGACAGAGAGGGATCAAGAATATGTATGTTCAGTCAGCCAGACTCTCTTCTTGATCTGGTAGGAATGAAGAGGGGGTCAAATGGCACTCTACAATTTAACTTTTCGGTAATTTTAATTCTGCTTTGTCATGTCTGACTGGTGCTGTTTTCCAACCTTTTCTTCCCCTTTACTTTCTCTTTTCTTTACTCCTTTGCTTTTTTGTCCCTGCTTTCCTAGAGCTTAGGGCTTAGGAAAGTCATGAAAGTGTTATTGGTGGTGGTTGTGGAAACCATTTTAGTTTCTGGCTGCCCACTTCAGGTTGCATTGAGCTGTTTCCACTTCTAAAGCTGAAAAACCACCACGGGATGGGTTGGTGGATGGTGGTGTACTCTAAACAATGAACCAAAACCCCCTCAAAACTCAAGGAATAAAAACCTCTCAGTGACATTAAAAGCTAAGACTAATCTGAGTATTAAGAAAAATCAAGACATCTGCACAGATATGATATCCTTTTTATTCATTTAAAATTAACCAGTATTTATTTATTTTTATTTATTTATTTTTTTGAGACGGAGTCTCTCTCTGTCGCCCAGGCTGGAGTGCAGTGGCCGGATCTCAGCTCACTGCAAGCTCCGCCTCCCGGGTTTACGCCATTCTCCTGCCTCAGCCTCCCGAGTAGCTGGGACTACAGGCGCCCGCCACCACGCCTGGCTAGTTTTCTTGTGTTTTTTTTAGTAGAGACGGGGTTTCACCGTGTTAGCCAGGATGGTCTCAATCTCCTGACCTCGTGATCCGCCCGTCTCAGCCTCCCAAATTGCTAGGATTACAGGCTTGAGCCACCGCGCCCGGCCACCAGTATTTATTATGCACATCCTCTGTGCTACTCAGAGGATAGTTTCTGCCCTCAGGGAGTTGAGAGTCTTAGGTTGAGGCATGAGGAAAGATAATTATCCAAAGAATTATAATATGGCATTCCCAATTCCCCATAGAATTAATTATAATACAGGGATGGGGAGTGAGCCCAGAAGACTGGTACCGATGCTATATTTTCGAGACACTGGAAGATGCATGTGGTTTTGTGGCTCTTTATTAGACTAATTTAATCTCATTTGCAAGGCATAAAACAAATAACAATTGTCTAACTGATGCCTGTACAATAGAAACATGGTAAAACTTGGGAAAGAGCCTTGGACTGTAAGTTTGGTAGGGCAGAAATTGCACCTGTCACATTCACTGTATAGAGTGAGACTGGCACTCCATGAATATCTATGGAATTAATGGATAGATGAGAAGCCTTAAGACTGTAGTTGCCACTTATTGGCTGTGGCCAACTTTTAGCGTGGCCTAGGGTCTCTCTGACTATCTGTTTCTTCACCTATCAAATGGTTCTGCAATACCTCCCCACGTCACAGTATTATTATAGGATTGAAGCCTATTTCTTTAGCATCCACTATATGGGAGGCACTA